ATCTTTAAATCTGTAACTACTGGATGAAATTTAGCATCAAGAACTCAGAACAGGTGGACATGAATGCACAAAACCACAAACATGTTCAGGCAGAAAGGCGGGTTCATTACCAGGCAGGGTTCGGTCCACAGGTAGAGGCATCCAAAGACGAGAGGCAAAAAGCCGAGGTCACAAAGCAGACTACGGCGATGAAAACAACGCTGGGACGAGGACCGTGAAGTTCAACAAGACTGTGAGACACACTGGGTCAAACACAAGAGGCAATGAGGGAGGATGGGAAACAGGTGAGGAGGACAATCAGGGAGCAGGTGTGACGTGACGGCGGCAGGAAGTAAAGCTAAGACAGAGACAACAGGTTAGTGATTACAAAATAAAACAGGAAAGACATGAAATGTGCAACCATAAAAGAGAAACTTGACGGACACGACATTTAGACTCATCAGAGCGATGATGTGACTAAATCTGAGAGATCTGAATTAGTTCATTTTATCTAATATCTTAAAAGTTTTAAGAAAAAAAATCCAGATTGTTTAGCTTTGATTTGCTCTTTTTTTCCCCTGTTTCCAGTACAGATGTAAAATATGGAAGCGTATTGCATTCACTTGAAAAAAACATAAAAAACGCTCTGTTTTTCTGAATTAACGGGATAATTTTTACAAAAAATAAAATAAAAATAAACAAAAATCTGCTTTAATTATGGACTCACTGTCTAAAGTGTGAGAAGTTGCCCAAAATAAATCTGCAGAAACTTTCTGACTATCCTGACAGCTTGCTGCTGCTGCATCATTCATCCTGTGCTTCCCTCTGTGTTTACACCACCTGACAGCCAGTGAAGCCAGTAGAGGAACTGGGACCAGTCAGTAGAGTCCAGGCTCATCATCACATTACCAGTCAGCACCATAAAAACACGAGCAGTCAACAGAGACAGTCAGGACACACAGAGGACGTGACGGAGGAGGCGAGGAGCGGCAGGTGATCAGGGGAGCAGCTATCGGCCAGGTGAGGCATGACAGGAGAGAGGAGGGGATGGAGGAGCAGCCGTCGCCATGACAGCGCCGCCATCTGGAGCGTTTCCAAGGAGACGGCTTACGGAGCACATCTGCACACTCGAGCCTTAATTTTTTAGATACGCCAAAGATGCTGGAACGGATTTATTCTGGTCTCATCTGAACAAAGACTCCCAGCAGACTTTAGCCAAGTGACATCTAGCAGTTTGCTGGAGGCCCTTCATACAGGTTGAGGTTATGCAGCGTCCTTCACATTGTCTGACCTGTCACAGACACTCTGATTTCCACTGATAACCTCTGTAACCAAGTCTGGATCAACAGAAGCAGTTGTGCACATGGAGTGATGTCATTTTAGGAGTTCAGCAGCTTGCAGCACCACGGCTGGATGTTGACCTCCTGATTACTGCTGCCGTCCTCCTCCATCACTCTGAAGCATCTTCTGGGATCTTCACAGCTCGTTTGTAAACATGTTCATGCAGGTAGGCTGACTGGAAATCACAGGTGGACTCAGCTTAGCTTTATTCATGGCCCTGAGTTTCTACTTTTCAATATAGACTTCCTAAAGGGTTTCTTTCTGATTGTTAATAAAAGGAAATATTCTACTACTCAATGTAGAAATAATGGATTAATTGAGAGGTGATATTACAAACGGGTCAAGAACTAGTTCTATGAACTTCTTAAGCTCATTTGAACAAGTTTGTCTCATCAGAAGTGAATCTTCCACAGAAGTACTGCGAAGCAGCAACTACTAACATTATAAAACATCTGAGAGTTATTTTCTGTCATAAAATGATGAAAAATTGTCATTATTATTCCTTGAAGCTTAAATACAGATATGTTAACATCCAAAAACACATTATGACTGTATCACACATCACAAGCTGTTTTTTTTTAAAAGGGGTTTTGTTTAGGAATGAGTTTAACACTTAATCAGCTGTAATTCATTAAAGCAATAAAACATTTCCACTCTTGTCTGGCTACAGGATAATGAAACAGACAGGTGTGGCTCAGGAGGGCCACAGCAGGAGGTTCATGTGCTGCGGTTGCTTCGAGAACCTTTGCTTCTATATTTGCATCCTTTATAACATACATAAAAAGCCCATGTGCTACTTTCATACATGTAAACTCCATCGTGATTATCCTCCATGTGTCTCATTCATATCCCGTCTGATAACATGCAGAACGAGCAGCTCGTACGTCTTCATGCTACGAGGCAGCTGAGTTTTGGGATAATTTTTCATGTTCTGCCGCTGAACGCCCTCTTTGCCTTTTTTCCCCTTTAAATTTTCTCCATTTTTCTCATGCAGCTCTTTTTCATTCCATTTGCTTCCCTTAACAGCATCTCAGGCTGCTGGTTTGCTCACCAGAGCTCCCACTGCATCGGTATCCCCCCCAAAAAAACTTTTATAGTGCATCATTTTCAAATCAATACTAATTCCGATAAATACATCTGCGGGCGCATCAGTGTTGAAAATGAAAAAGACAAAAACCAGATAAACAGAAATCCCCCCCAAACCAATCCAATCATCATTTCCAGGAAGCTTCAGTTCCATCACTGGGAGCGCTGTACGTTGCTGCACTCGGCTGAATCAGCACTTCCCAGGGCTTATTTCTCATAAGGCCTGTGTAGTACGCGTCAGGGACCTCGTAAATATCCCAGCCGCACCAGCCAGAACAACAACACGGCACAAAATGCATATTCTCCTCCGGTTTTAATCATCTGAAGGTTTCTTTGCGCTCTGCAGGTAAAGAGCAGGCTGACAGAGGACGTTACCATCACCGAGGAGAGCTCAGATAGATAAATAAGCAACGTCCAAGTCGCTCCTGCACGACCTTTAGAAAATGAGACGTTTCTTGTTCTGACACTTTCCAGAACAGATTCCTTTTCGTGCCCTCCTGCCTCCTCCCCTGAAGGCCTGAAGGATGTCGACTCCTCGCGGACGCAAAGCGAGAGGAGCCGCCGACTGAACTCCCATACAGATTAAGTCAGTGTCAGAGCAGGAGGGCAGAGTCCTGAAAGAGGATTGCATCGAATACATACCAAAGTGCACCCAGGTTAAATCCCCTGATGGGAGCATCTTAGGCAAAATAACAAAAGCTTTTGATCAGCGCGGGCTTAAAGGAAATCCATTACTGGGGGCTGAAATGCCTGCAGCGTGCGTGTAGCCGCGCAGATTCGACCGCGTCACGTGTTCCCGTCGGCGAGGGGAAGAGGAAAACCTACGTGTGGGATGATGACGGAGAGCGAGCACACACACTTCCCTCACACACGGTGCCAATTATTGACTTGACATGTTGGAATCTGTCCATGGTGCTGAAATGACTCGCCGGAGGATTTAACTCTTTGCTGCAACTCAAACTTGTGGAGACCTGATGACTCCATCTGCAGGAGCCTCACAGCGCTTCATGGCCTTCAACAAACCTCAGCTCCTTCAGTGACACAGCTGATTTATCCTGTCAGCTGGAGAATAAACACACAGCAGCCAATGTGGGACTCTGAAGTCACCGTGTGATCTGGATTTGGGCTCAACAAACTGACAGATAACAGAAAACGAACTAAGGAGTCCCGACTGTGTTTCTGTTTTCAGCTTCTATATGATTCCAGTTAATTTAATTCTGCAGCCAACAGTTTAACCAGGGCACTCACATAACAAGTGTGTGTGTGTGTGTGATTAGATGGCGCAGATGTAGATAAAGACAGCCAGCCCAAACCGGAAGTCATGACATGCGGTCTTCAAAATAAGAGCAAACAGTTGCAGTTAACAGTTGGTGTTAATTTTAATAGTCGACAACTGATCGATAATCGTTGCAGCTCGAGTTTACAGTCTCTTAAGAATGATGAAGTCCTATAAAAAATGTCTTCCTGAATCGTTTTGCTTCTTAAAACTCACATTTGCAGATTTCTATTTTCACCTAACATCAACTTTAGAATCAGAACTAGCCAAAGCTCTCCAGCAAGTTAAATATTAACAGTAAGATCTCACAGTTTTATGACCTAGCAAACTTCAATATGGATTATTTCACCAGTGCAACAAAAATGGATTTATGATCTTCTGTTTTTGTCCAAATACTTCTTGTTGGACGCGTGAAATTAAATGAAATAAAGTAAAATAAAGTTGCATGTATGTCTGTAATTAAACTTCCTGATAATTTGGATTGGTGGCCCTACCCATCGCTGTTTCTTTGGACTGAACTCAATCAGCAGCTAAAGCTGCAGTTGGCTGGATAACATATGTAAAGGTTAACTTTTATTTATGCCTTCCCCGAGAAATCAAATTCCTGAACGAAGGTCCTCCACATCCCGCCGCCATCATGGACCTTGCTGCTTTTTATTCTACATCATCTGATCAGAAACAGATCAAATGCAGTAAAATCTAGATTTTTAGAGGCTAAAACCAGAGCCAGGTAAAGGTGCAGTTTCCTACCAGATCACTTAAATGACAACATGCAAACGTGCAGGTTTATTAGTATAGCACCTTTATTATATGTTGACGAAATTCAAAGCGTGCACAAGCAAAAAATGCAAAATACAGAAAAATAAATGAAACGAATCAAAAACAGTGCATAGAGGGTGAAAAATATGTGCACAAATTTTGCAAAAATAATTAGAAGTGACTGACTAAACAGCAGAAAAAACACAAAAGATATTAAAAAAAATAACAAAAATACATTACAGATAAGGTATACAAGACAATTGAAAAAAAAAAAGTTAAACAAGTATGCAGGTACCTTTAATAAAAATAAAATAAAATAAAGAGGGAAAAACTGTCTTAGCTTGCTTTTGAATATGGCTAAAGTACAATAAAAGCTCATGTCTGGACGCCACAGAAATACTGCCTACACCAGCTTTAAATGCTGCACCACTGCCTCTGGAGTGTTTTATTTTGAAAGTCCTGCCCGGTAGTCCTCCTGTTACTCGCTGCAGCTTGACGCCGGTGCTCCGGGATCAGACACCGAGCAGCAGTTGGCAGGACAGCCGAGCCATACCGCTCCTGTGGCGGGGATGTGTCGCGTCGTGCTGGTGTCTCTGAAGCTGTTCCTGCAGGACAGAAGCTGAGCAGCAGCTGGACGTGCACGAATCATTAAAAAGAAAAAAGAAAATGTGCGTGAGCGTGTGAGAGAAGAGCTGAAGGTTCCGAAACAGACTCAAGTTTGAAAGTGGAGCAGTTCCGCTGCAGGACGAGGCCGCCCGGAGCCGGACATGTTCGGACCTGCTGCTGCCGGGACTCCCGCTGTGTGAGCACCAGGAGCCAGGACCTGAGCTCCGAGTGCAGGATGAGACCGGGGGGACACGACCAGGACTCGGACATCAGGGTTGTGCCGTGATTTTCAGTTTCCACCATGGAGGAGAAGTTCAGCAGACTCATCTTCATCCCCATCGCCGCGGTGCTCTTCCTCATGATCGGCTACCAGTACGTGTGTCCGGCGGACAGCAACACCTGCTACTTCAGGGGCGACGACCAGGGGCTGTTCCAGCGCTACTCGTCCGGCTTCGAGTTAGTTTACACGGAGCTGGAGGCGGACGAGGACCTCCCCTCCAAGATCACGTCCAAATTCAACTTCACGGAGCGGGACCTGGACCGGCACGTCGACTTCAACATCCGCGGGGAGGACGTCATGGTGTTCCTGCACATCCAGAAGACCGGCGGCACCACGTTCGGCCGCCACCTGGTCAAGAACATCCAGCTGGAGCAGCCCTGCGACTGCATGCCCGGCCAGAGGAAGTGCACCTGCCACCGGCCCGGGAAAGCCGAGTCGTGGCTCTTCTCCCGGTTCTCCACCGGCTGGAGCTGCGGGCTGCACGCGGACTGGACCGAGCTGACGAGCTGCGTGCCGGTGGTGATGAACAAGCGGGACAAGAAGAGCGCGCCAAAGAGCAGAAGGTGAGAGGTGACTGCGTGAACGTCCCACAGCGTTCACTCAGTCATTCACTTCTTCATTGGCTCCTTCCAAAGATGGATTCACTCATTCACGGCCTCATTCCAGCAGCTTTAAAACAGCTCCAGTTAGTAAATCACTCATTCATTCATTCATTCATTCATTCATTCATTCATTCATTCATCATTTTAAATATGCAGTCCAACTATTCTAATTCATTCTATGCTTTAGGAGTGAGTGAGTGAAGGAGTTATGCACCATCACTCACTCCTGTGTTGAGTGAATGAGTGAGGGATGAGGTCTGCACCGAAATGATGTGTGACTAGAACTGGCTCCGTTCACTCATTCACTCACAAAGCTTTTTTATTGATTCACAGCATTACTAAATTTGTCATCATTCACTCATTCACCCTTCAATCAGGCAACAAGTGTATAAAACAGGAGCCTAACGTGTGTGAATGAATGAATGAATGACGAACAAACACTCACTTGATAATTGAAATTGATTCCTCCTAGTTTATTGATTGAGTGAACGAGTGAGGCATAAGGACTGAAGGGCACGATGTGTGACTCTAGAACTCACTCACAACGTTCACTCATTCACAAAGCGTTTTTGGATTCACAGGATTTCTCACAGACTCCATTTTTCACTTGAAGCCATCGTTCACTCATTCACTTCAGTAATTTATCAAGTAAATAAGAGACAAGTTTAAAGCAAATGAACCGAAATGATTTGAGTGAATGAATGATGAACACTCACTCAGTCACTCTTCAACAGGGCAGCAAATGAATAGAAAAGGAGCTTAACGTGTGTGAATGAATGAATGAATGAAGACCAAGCATTCACTCCATAGTAAATAAGAGACTTTTGGGCTTAAAGTGAATGAATGAATGAGCAAATAAAGCGTGAGTGGATGGATTAATCACTGAGCTGCATCGTAACTCATTCATTCATCGTGTGAGTGAGTGAGTCAGATGAATGAGTGAATGACCGGCAGACGTTGACAGAAAGTTTTATTGATGAATTTTTTGTCTTCTTCTTGTTGTTTAAGTGATTTATGGTGAAACCAACTGAACCTTTCTGCTGCTTTTATTTTGAAATCGTTACGAATTCAATACTTTAAAGTTTAAAGACCGAGCTGGTGATTTAGAACCAGCACCCTGGGCTCTCTCCGACACTCAGAGTTCACTGAAAATAATCATTAGCGCTTCTGAAATGGATTTTTTTCCCTGTGAGCCTACAGGAGGAATAATGTCAGCCAGGACGGAGCGAGCTGCGGCGCTCTCTTTGCTTATCTGGAGGCACTAAATCAGCGCTAACTGGATTTTTTCTAACAGCAGGTCGAGGCGCCGGTTCTCCTCCGGGGGGCTCGGCTCGCGTGCGTCCTCATTGGGATGTAATGCAGGCGGTAGAGCCGCGGCGTTAACATGCACACCGCACGGCACGCCAGCGACAGTCCACTCCGGCACATTGACAGAGCTAACGGGCCGCCTCGTCGTCCCGAGGTCTGCTTCAATTTCCTGTAATTACAGGAGCAGCGCGGCGAAGCTTAAGGGAGTAAATCACTTAAGAAGGGCAGGGTCCTCTGAGGTGTGCCGCCTGGGTGTTGAAGCCAATTTGCCTTCGCAGTCGGTTCAGAGAGCAAATCTCCATATGTTACCGAGAGTGTTAGAGGGGGTCGACGAGGGCCTTCAAGAATCCTTCAAATCCATTAACTGCCCTCGGTGGCAGCCATCCGACTCAATTTAAGGCTTTGAAAGAGTTCTGAAGAGGTTCCTCGGAGCCACATCGGCGCTGCAACACTCCGGTCAACACAAGCCGACAGAAAAACCCCAGAGGCGCTCTGCTAGCTGACACAAGATGGAACCAATGCAGCGACTCCTCTGCCATTAAGGCTCAATTATTTCATTAATTATTCTCAGTGTTGATTATGGAGTCGCCTTTCCACTCACAGAGCTAATGAGCGCCGCATTAACTCTCGCGGGTGTCGACTTACGTGCTGATAATGCGATACGCGGCCGGACCCCTGCAGGGAAACGCTCACCGGGCCGAAGGTCGGAGGTCACGGCGGCTCCCGAGCGGCTTCCAGAGAGCCGGCGTCTCGCTCAAGGACACATTTTAATACTGAGCTGCTCCGATGTACGCTTCACAAGCCGGCGTTTGAGCCTCCATGAGTCATAACTCAGCTCATACCCGCGAATCTGTCGGTGGACGCGTGAGTCACAACTCATTCAGCGGCCGCAAATCTGTCACATGAAGTTCTCATTTCCCCCGAGGATAATGCCGGCTTGATTTTCTGTCCGCACGCCTTCGGAAAGAAATATCGGGGAACCATTACTCAGCGCCGACCGGCCTAGGAAGAGACGAACAATTAAGCCGAGGCTCGCCGTCGGTTCGGATTAAAACTGCTGAATAAAGAGTGCCGCCACCAGGTTGATCGGCCCTGAAAGCCTCTTGTCCTGTCACTTTGGGGGATGTCGTGCCTCCGTGATGGGGCGGCTGAGTTTGTGTGAAGTCATGTTACGGCTCATAATACAATATTTAATGCTGCTCCGGGAGATTACTCTGCTCCACTAGATTCTGTTTGTGTTTCGCCCTGATCCCTCCGTCCCCAAGAGGTTAAACAGCATGAGAGCCAAACATCTATAATCCCTCATCAGGAGCAACTTATAAAGAACACAACTAGTCTGATTGCAAAAAAAGAAACTCAGTAACAGCATGTTGACACTGAAGGATGACTCTCATCTTATACAAGTCACATACAGCAATAAAAGTGCAGACAGGCAGCGATCAAACACGCTGGGAACGGATGACGCCCACACTTAGCTTCAGGCTACATCCAGCAGGGTGTGATGTAGTTTGCAGGGAAGGCTTACGTATCGCAGCCCTCAGACAATACGCCGGTTTGTTTAACTCCTCGGCACAAGATGAAAACACATGGCACCAGAAATACATGTACAGTCGTGCTGCTGCTGCTTTAAACTCCTCATTAGAGATCAGTGTTTTATATTAATATACTAAACTAGCTCTTTCCCTGCCTGTTGTTCTCGCTTGCCAATATTCTTCCCTCTGTTGATTTATTTGCACTTTGTTTTTATTGAACTTTTTTTTCCACCTGAGTCAAATTGAAAACCTGCTCCTGGATCTGCCGCCTCACTCACCGTTCATGCCAATTTATTTCCCACAACAACTAACATCTCCTGCAGCCCAAACAGCCTTTCCCACCCTTACGCCACTGTTTTAAAAGAACCGTTTGTAAGCCTGTTGCAGAAATCACTTCCCTCTAAACCGCTGGATAGCGAAGCAGCAGAACAGCTGAGGATGGGAGCTGCGCTTATGAGAGACTTGTGGTTGAAATTTCCTCGAACTCGGGCCTCAGGCTGCGCTGCGGTGAAACAGTTTGTCTGATGTGGCTGCGGTTGCAGCGTCACAGCACGTTTAAAATGAAGGCTTCTGAAATAACCCTGATATCACTTCAAACTCTCACTGAAGGCATCTGTAACTACATTCTGATAGAATTCTAGCTTGAGATATTTAGTTCAGACTAGAATCTAAGAAGGACGATGCAGATGGGCTGAAGTCAGAGATCTTGAGCTGGAATAAAACTGTACATATCAGCTGATGCATAATTCAGCTGCAGATATGTGCAGCTGAATACTAGATATCTGGACTGCAAACCCCCCATGTGCACGAACAGTAAATAAAAGACTCCATAATCGACCCTTAACAATCCTAAACCTGCTATCTGACAGGTTTTGAGGAAAAACAAACAGAACCCATAAAAACAGCCTTAACATAGCGACAGCCTTGGATTGTGACTCCGACATGACATTTAATGTCACCAATCAGGATGACGGCGTATTATCTGACTGAACAATCCCACAGATTGGCTACGTTCACACTGCAGGACTTGATGCTCAATGAGGATTTCTTTGTGACTTCCTTCACGTTTCCACTTCAATGCGACTTGTATGTGATCTGCTGTGTGAACTTCATACGAGCCAAAAGTGTCCCGCATGCGCAGAAGAGGACACGACGACGTCACACACAGCGAGCGTGCTCAGTGTTTATGGAAGTAAACATGGATGGTAACGGTGGAGCGTATCTGCCACTCCCCCGCCGCCACCGATGGAGGAAACAGAAGTGTGAGCGCTAACTAAACTAGCATCAGCAGCCAAGTACTGCCTGTGTGTTCTGGACACTTCCACCCCGTCAGAGCGCTGCCCCGGGGTGGAAGTGTCCCCCGACTGCACTGAATGTTCGGATATTCATCATTAATTGGGCCTGAATATCCAGAAAATGCTATTGGGACCAGCTCTACTAGTTATTATAACAACTATGAACAATAATGAACAACTAATGAGCCTTCCAGCATCAAGCCCTCCTCGTATCTGAACTTCCGTCTGGACAATCCGACATAAAAGCAGGTTTTACATTCACGACTGTACCTGAATGTTCTTGGAATCACAGATATCTTCTCTACATACTCAGTCTACTGCGTACCAAGAATGTACACTGACCCTCTTCACCTCAGCCGCCTCGTTTTCCTCCTCTCCATCCCCTGATGAAACGCATCTCGCTCTCAGGGAGGTTTGGAAACGAGCGTCTAACTATTCTGCCCTGAGCGTCTGCGGGCTTTTCCTGATTGTTGTCCTCCTTCATGATAACATGATTCAATGACGGATAATGTCTTTTACCTGGAGTCACCTTATTACTGTACCGCAGGAAGCGATGAATATTTTGCACGTCGGGTGTATGTTGCTGGTCCTGCTGGTCTGTTCTGGAGACAGAAGCACCATCTGTCTGCTTTTGAGCGGCACTTAATAGTCACCTTGAAATCACCTCTCTCCTACACACCCTGCCAGTGTAGAAACTAATCACACCAGCGAATGCATAAACTGCAGCACAGACCTGGCCCGACGCAAATGTCTCATATTCTTAATTATCATTTTATTTTTCTGCTGTCGGGTGTTGACGTATGAAAAGAAAAACACATGAGACTAA